GAGGCATCTCACTCATCGATGCCCTGGTAGTCAAGACAGCATGGAATTGGTACAATGACAGACACATAGATTAATGGAATAGAATTTAGAACCCAGAAATCAGCCCATCTACCTATGGTCAGTTAAGTGGGGAAATGACAGCCTTTTTAACAAATGGTATTAGAAACATTGGAAAACTATTTGCAGAAAACTCAAGCAAGATCCACACCTCATTCTATACCAAAAAAACCCAACTCAAAGTGGATCAAGGACCTAGGACTAAAATAAAGGATTATAAACTTCATTAGAGAAAAGCCTAGAAGAACTCTAGAAGTCCTAATCCATAACATAAACAGTATTCCAACCATCCTGAAAAAAAAACTATAACCAGGAGAGGATAAAATTATAAAATCCATGTGCACATCCAAAAACTTCTCCAACAGGGTGAAAAGAGATGCTACCCACTGGGGAAAAAATTTGGTAATGACATGTCAGATAAGGGACTTATATCTAGAATTTGTAAAATACTCAAGCACCACAAAAAGATAAAGGTAAATAACCCAATTGAAAAATGGGCACAGGATATGAACAGACATTTCACCGAAGAAGACACTCAGATGGCAAACAAACACATAAAGAAATGTCAAAAGGCTTAGCTCTAATTCAAAACAACTATGAAATATCATCTCACCCCACTAACAATACCAAATTTAACAGAGCAGCAAACAACAAATAATAGTGAGATTGTGGAGAAACTGGAACCCTTATTTACTGTTGGTGGGAGTGTAAAATGGTGCAACCACTACGGAAGGCAGTATTATGGTGCTTTCTTAAAAAGTTGGAAATAGAAATACCATTTGACTCAGCAATTCCACTCCTGGAAATATACCCTAAAGAAACCAGAACTTCCACCCAAGCAGATATGTGCAAATCCATGTTTACTGCTGCTTTTTTCATAATAGCAAAGAGTTGGAAACAACCCAAGTGTCCATCAACAAATGAATGCATAGAGAAGCTATATTCACACAATGGAATACTACACTGTATTGAAAAACAAGAAACTCATGCAATATTATTAAAAATTATGACGCTGGAGGACATTATGCTGAGTGAAATATCTCAGTCACAAAAAGGCAAATATTGCATAGTGCCACTGTTGTAAATTGTTGTACATTGGGGTTGAGGGGAGACTGAGAGGTGATAAATAATGTATACTACATTGAAACAGATGAGAGAACTATTTAAAAGAAATATATGATTAGGTATTACTGTCATGACAAGAGTCCAAAATGAAAGTTGCATGGTGGAGTGGACTGGGTCAGGGAGACTGTATAACAAAGAAATTTTTTTTTTTACTTTTCAAAGAGAAAAGCAAACTGGGGGTGGCAGGGGTGGGCAGGGAGGAAAGTGTGCAACAATGAATGAATGGAAATCCAAAGTCTCTGTAAACCTTCATTTTAAAGAATTTTTAAAAATTATAAAAAATCATGTTGCAGACCCAATGGATACCCCAGAGACAGAAAGGCAGAATAAATATATTAACACAGAGTCATATGAACATTTAAGGATAATGGAAGAATGGAAGCCACAAATAAAGTTAATATCCCAGAGGCAGTGAACCAGAAGAAATACACTGAAGTGGAGTTATTTGAATAGCTATGGGAAAAGGTGGAATGATGGAAGAAAGGATTGAAACCATAAATAGAGTGAATACACAGATAGAGGTTTGCACACCAACATTCACAGCAGTATTACTCACAATAGCAAGAAAATTGAAACAGCCCATATTTCCATCAACAAATGAATGGATTGAGAAATTGTGGTACACTCTTGCAATAGAATATTATACAGCAATCAGAGGTAATGATTTTGAAAAATACTCTATAACATGGGAAAAGATGAAGAGCATTATGCTGAGTGTACTAACTCAGTCTCATAAGGACAAATATTGCATAATACCATTATAAAAATAAAAGGATCATTAGTAAGATATTTACTAATTTTTTTACTATTAAAGTCTGAAGCAGAACGGGGAGATAAGATGAAGGCTGAGGATGGATAAGGGAAAAATTATGAAGTCACAGAATTGGATGGACAGAGGGAGGGGGTGAAGGAATTAGGAAAGATCTACTGGGTGCTTGAAAAGGTGGAGTAATGGTGGGATAGATTAATGTGGATTAATTTTATTAAACAGAATGCATGATAATGATTGTATGAAACACTGTGTGAATCATTGTTGTTGTTGTTGTTATTTTGTACCATTGACTCAAAACTGATCCATAGCTGACTCTCCAGTGGGTTTTCAAATGCAGTTAATCCCATCAGAGGAGATTTCCCACCCTTCTCCCTTGGAGCAGCTGATGGATTTGAACCATGTGCCTTCAGGATTGCAGTGCAGCTTCTTACCACTAGGCCACCAGAGCTCCCTACAAAATAGATAGAGGGATTGAAATGTATATAAGTGAAATATAATTTATATACATTTTGTATGTAAACTGATAAAAAAAAGGAAGAACTCACTTGTGTTTCTCAAGATAAGAAAACTGAAAGACAAATTTAAGCCTCCCGTGACCTTATGTACAATACCTCTAATCTCTATCCTGAGCCAATCTTACAAACTCTGACACAAGTAAGTCAGCACAGCAGAGGAACACCCTGGATGACATGGATTGACACAGTGACTGTGGCAATGTGGGCAGATGTGTCAGAGACAGTGAGGTTGGCTCAGGATAGGGCAAAATTCAGAGGTGTTGTTCATAGGGTCACTATGAATCATGGTGAACTTGACAGCACTTAACAACAACAACACCTATTGTTTGTGGACATGTAAAATGAAATTATTGCAATGGAAAATAGTTTGATGGTGTCAAAAAGTTATGGATGGTATCACCATATGACCTTGTAATTCAGTTCTTAGTTATTCACTTGGAAGACTTTAAAGCAAGGACTCATTTAAGTATAAAATAAGCCTCTTTGCATTGCTGTGTATAATTTCTAAAAGTTGAAAACAAGTGTCCACTAGCAGATGCTTAAGTTGTGGTATATAAATAAAGTAAAATAAAATATTATTAAGTCTTTAAGAGAAATTATTGTACGTAATACATTATCACTGAACCTTGAACAATGTGAGTGAAATAATACAAACATCGTAATATTGTATGATCTTACTTGAATGAAACATCTAGAATAGGAAAATGTAATAAGATCAGTGTGTTTTATAATAATCAGAGAGTTAGTGAAAAATTATGTTCTAACTGAAGGGGTATTTACTTGTTCTTTTGAATAAGAACAATAATTTGGAAATAGTGATGATTGCACCACACGGTAAATTAAATTACTGTCACTGAATTTTATACTGAAAATGGTTAAAAAGGAAATATTGTGTTTATTTTTCCATAATAAAATTTCAGTTATGAACCATATAATATCCAGGGGTATAGACAATGCTCAACTAAGCATATATCCACATTCCTAATCCACACACAGACTAGTATATTAAAATGTCTGGGTACCTACAATGGTTAGTAATAACAAACTTTCACTAATTTGCAACTGGCATCAAAACATTTTTTTTGTTACTGTTTCAGTATGCTAAAGTTATTTTAGTATATCTGGAAGTGCTTGATTATTTTATTATACATAGAAAGACATAATATATATATATGTGTGTGTGTGTGTATATATATATATAAATAAAAATTTTTTTTACGATCACCAGCTGCCCAGTGAACAAAAATTACGCTTCCGAAATCTCTTGATGTCAATTCCGCACATAGAGCAATAGAGTTGCCCTACGTGTGCCACTTCATGACAGAAGCCCTTCTTTTATATATTAATTTTTTACTAGCTGAGGTTAGATAGAAGACTTAGCTACCTCTTGTGACTGGCATACAAATTCAACATAGAGACAGATTTAGCAATGGAATCCATTTATTATTCAGGGATTTCAAATAAATAAAAAAAACTATTGTTGATTACTTGTGGTTTTTATAGGTGCTTTCCAAGCAATAACACTCATAGCAAGCCTCTGAGCAACAGATGAGAATTTTTCCAATCCTGTACCGTCATTTTGATCTCTGTTGATGGAGTCCATTGTTATAGACGCTGCATCAATCCAGACTTTCCCATGTAACACATCTTCTGATTTCTTGACTGCTGCTAGTATGGGTATTGAATGTAGATAAAGTAAAATTCTATCATTGACAACTTCAATCTTTTTCCCGTCTGTCATGATTTTCTGTCATGTTGAGATGTAATCCATATTGAAAGTTGTGGTCTTTGATCTTCTTCAGTAGGTGCTTCAAGTCTTCTTAACTTTCTATAAGCAATGTTGTGTCATCTGCATAATGTAGGTGTTCAATAGCCTTTTTCCTTTCCTTGTGCCACAATTTTCTTCAGTTAGTTCAGCTTCTTGATTTATTTTCTCAACACACAAATTTAAAAGATATGGAGAAAGGATACAATCCTGATGCACACCTTTCCTGATTTAAAACCATGCAGTATTATCCTGTTCTATTCAAACAACAGCTTCTTGGCCTATGTACATGTTTTGCATGAGCATAATTAAATGTACTGAGATTTCCATTCTTTGCAATATTGTCTATAATTTGTTATGATACACACACTGCCTTTGCATAGTCAGTTACACAATAAAGTCAGTGTGTTTCTAATCACAGTGGATAATCATCAAAACAACCTCCCCCACTACACAAAAAAGTTAAACAGTCCAAGAACCTATAGATATTAACTATTTACAGAAAGATGTGATAAAGTTTCCTGTGTAGGCTTTGCCACATTGCACTCTGTTTAGCAGATATTTTCTTCTGTTATAATTACAAGGAGAAATTTTGCTGCCCATTTTATTATATGAAGATAAGAATAACAAAAATTAAGGAAACCACCTAAATTAACGTGATGAACTTAGCTCCAAACTCGTGTGTGTGTGTGTATGTGTGTGTGTATGTGTGTGTATGTGTGTGTGTGTGTGTGTGTGTGTGTGGTCAAGGCAGGGACTTTAAGCCCTAAGAAGCCACACTGCTCTGGTACATCTCCATGGTTTCCTGGGAGAGACTTCCTCCAGATTCCTCCACCTCAGGAGTGTCCTCCAGCGCCCTCTGAAAAAACACCTTGAGGTTCCTCCTCCCCAGCCGATGTCTAAAGGAGCCAACTAAGAAGTAAATGATGGGGTTGGAGCTGCTGTTTATACAGGAGAGTAGTATAGACCAAGCAGAAGCTACTTTATTAGAATGCTCTTGAATCCTCGATAACAGTAAGTGATAAATACCTAAGGGCAGGCCACAGAGGAAGAAGACCAAGACTGAGAGCACAACAGTCACAAAGAGCCTGGTCAGCTTCTTTCTCTGGGAGCCACACATCTTTACCAGCAGAGTGAAGCTAGATCCAAAGAGAGTCACAAATAAGAATATCAACCATGAGGCAATGACAAATTCAGTAACTTGACACCAACCATCATTATCCAAGTGCACAATTAATGTACAATAGATTTCCTCCAAGATGACCAGAAACAGGGACAAGGCCCACAGCAGGACACATGTGACAACTGACAGGTTTCTTGGGCGGTGGCAGCGGTACCAAATAGGGCACAGGACAGACAGACAACGCTCTGTGCTAATAGCACTGAGAATGCTGAGGCTTAAGATATACAAAACCAAGAATGTAGCACTAAAACATTGAAGGGCAAAGGTAAAGATGGGATTGAAGAGGACCAAGATAGTCACTATGAACATTAAAATCAGGTTGGAGAGGAAAAGGAAGTCAGACACTGCAAGGTTGAGGATGTAGACCGAGAAGGAGTTCCTTCGAAGGCGGAAGCCTAGTAGCCAGATCACAACTGTGTTCCCTATCAGCCCCCACAGGGCAATGACGAAGGTCAGCAAGGGCAGGATCAGCAATTCTACGGCATCATCTGAAGAAAGTGTCTTGTTACTTTCATTCATTGGTGGGGTTTGAGTCCTCCAATCTGAAAAGGTTGGCTCCATACTTAGAAACCGTCCACTGGTACCCCTGCAAGACAAAGAAGAGTTGAACCCTTGCTGTAAGGTCTCAAATTCTCAGAGTCTCCTTGCTATGTAAAAATTACTGTCGCCATTTTATACAGGAGTGAAACGTAGGCCTGCAGAGATTATTTTGTTGAAGAACAGGGAGGCCTGGATTCAGGCCAAGTTCTCATTGAGTCTCTAGTTACGTTCTCCCTACTGTTGTTGTTAGGCTTTGCTGAGTCGAGTTCAACAATAGAGGCCCTACGAACAACAGATCTGAGAGTGAACTATCCTGAGCCATTTTTATCATACCTAGCACACTTGAGCCCATTGCTGCAGTCACTGTATCAATCTATCTTATTGATTTTCCTTCATTGGCCTTCCCAAGCACTATGTTTGTCTTTAAGGAATAGAATCCCCTAACAACATGCCCAAAATATGTGAGAGGAAGCTTCACCATCCTTACCTCTAAGGAGCACTCTGACTGCACTTTATCCAAGATACGTTTGTTTGTTCTCTTGGCAATCCACGGGATATTCAGTACTCTAACAAACACCACAATTCAAGGGCATTGATTTTTTTTCTTCTGTGATCCTTATTCGTAATTCAGCTCTGAGATTGATAGTAGGTTGTTGAAAAGGCCATGACTCGAATCAAGAGCATCTTAGTCTTTAAACTGGTATCATTGTATCTTAATAACCTGAGAGAATTAAGACCACTTGTTATGACAGGTATAATAATGACCAGGTTTCTTATACTATAAATAACAAAATGCATTAGCTGGACAGTGACTAGGGATGATAGGAAGAGAACTGATGCCTTTGAGCTGTGGTACTGGAGAATAGTGTTGAATATACCATGGACTGCTAGGAGAACAAACAGGTTTGTCCTGGAGAGAATGAAACTGGGTTGCTCCTTGGAGTCAAGGATTCTGAAGCTTCATCTGGCATACTTTGGGCATGTTGCAAGGAGGGATCAGTCATTGGAGAGGGACATCATGTTTGGGAGAGTAGAGGGATGGCACAGGAGAGGAAGACTCTAGATGAGATGGATTGATTCAGTGATTGGAGTAATGGGAGCAGGTATGTCAGAGACAGTGAGGTTGACACAGGATAGAGCAGGGTTTAGGGCTCTTGTACATAGGGTCACTATGAATTGAAAGTGACTCAATGGCACATAACAACAACATTAGTTGCTTGTATTCTTTTAATCTGATTGAAAGTAAATCATCTTAGTTTTTCATTCAATAATTCATACACATCTTATTTTTATAAGATTAACTTACAATTTTTAATCACTTACTAATTGCCTTTCCCTTCATCTGCTTACCTATTTATTAATTAATAAATGTGTGTTAGTTTTATAGAGACAGGGAAAGCTTTTCTCTTGTCCATTGTCCCAGCAAATATCTCTGTCTAGGAATGGCAATGTGTAGTCAATGAATATTTTAGAAGGAAATGGATACATGAGAGAGTGAATGGAAAATCTAAGGTGTCTGTAGTTGTTAAGTTCTGCTGAGTTGAGTGCAACTTGTAGAGAACCTATGAACAACAGATCAGAACCCTGTCTTATCCTGCACCATCTTTATCATCCCTGACACACTTAAGCCCTTGCCAAGTCATGAGACCCATCTCTTTGATTTTTATTATTTTGTGTGCGTGTACCGTCAAATCAGATCTGACTGGTACAGGAGGATATTGCTCCTCCTTCTCCGGCAGAGCATCTGGTGGATTCGAACCGTGTACCTCTGGGATTGCAGTGCAGCTTCTTGCCACTAGGCCAGCAGAGCTCCTGAGACCCATCTCTTTGATGGTCTTCCTCTCTTTCATTTACCCACTACATTTCTAAGCATGGTGTCCCTTTCCAAAGAATAACCCCTTAGCTTCTCTTAATTCCCAGTGTTGGACAATGACTAAGGATGACAGAAGAATTTGTTTCTGAGCTGTGGTGCTATGAATATATGGAATGCTAAGGGTATCCGTCTTGGAGTGAGTGAAACCAGGTTGCTCATGGGAGACAAGGATTTTGAAATTCCATCTCTCATACTTTGAATGTGTTGCCAGGAGGGACCTATCCTAGAAAAAGGACATCATGTTTGGGAGGGTAAGGGGTCAGTACAGAGGAGGAAGATTCTTGGATGGATTGACACAGTGACTGTGGTAAGGGGGTCGGGGTGTCAGAGATGGTGAGGTTGGCATAGGACAGGGCAATGTTCAGAGCCATTATTTATAGGGTTGCTATGATTTGTGGTCAACTTAACGACACATAACAACAACGTTACCAGAGTATGAGAGACAAAGTACTGCCATCCTTGCCTCCAAGGAGCACTTTGGTTGTACTTTGTTCAAAACCTATCTGTTTGTTCTTTTGGCAATCCATGGGATATTCCGTATGCTCTCCAACACCACAACTCGAAGGTATTGATTATTATTCTGTCATCCTTTTTTTTTTTAACAGCCAGTTCTCAGATCACAAGTGATTGGGAAGACCTTGGCTTGAGTCAAGAGCATCTTAGTCTTCAAACTGACATCATTGTTCTTCAGGACTTTGGAGAGATCTCTGAATGTACTTTTCTAATGCTATACATCCCTTGCTCTCCTGACTTCTGGTCCCAAGGCTGTTGATTTTGGATTTAAGTAAAATGAAATTGTTGACAGTTTCAATCATTTTTCCATTTATCAGGATTTTGTTTAGAGGCCCAGTGGTGAGAATTTTTGCCCTCTTGATGTTGATATGTAATCCATATTGATGCCTGCAGTCTTTGATTCTCTGCAGCAAGAATTTCAATTCCTTCTGTCTTTCAGCAAGCAAGGTTATGTCATCTGCATAATGCAAATTGTTAGTGAGTCTTCTTCCAGTCTTGATGGCACATTCTTCTTTATAAAGTCTCGCTTCTCAAATTATTTGCTCGGCATACGGATTGAATAGATATGGAGAAAGGATACAACCTTGATGCAGACCTTTCTTGATTTTAAACCATGCAATGTTCTCTTACTCTGTTCAGACAACAGCTTCTTGATTAGGTATATATTTTGTATATGCATAATCAAGTGATCTGGGATTCCCATTCTTCTCGATATTAGACATAGTTTGTTATGATCCACAGAGTCAATAAAGCACAAATAGACATTCTTCTGGTATTCTCAGGTTTCAGGCAAGATCCATCCGACATAAGCAGTGACATGCCTGGTGCCACAGCCTTTTCTAACCCCAGACTCAACTTCTGTTGAAGTTCTCTGTCAGTGTCCTGGTTTAGCCATTTTTGGATGATCTTCAGTAGTTTTTGCATGCATATAATATTAATGGTAGCTGAAAATTTTGGCTGATGTTTAAAAAATTTAAGTTAAATTATTCACTAAAAAACACAAATATACTGAGATGAAAACTATTCTATATTATCCCTTATGTTTAAAGCTCTTCATATTTGAAAGAGTTACTTATGCCTTCATAAACAGCTAATGATGGCCACTTGCATGACTCCATGCTGAAGAGGTCAGCGTTATGGCTTTACTGAGTAGGCAAATGTGTTTTGCTATTGACTTCAATCCAAGGCTTTAGGGTTAAATTGTGTTTCCCACATTTCTGAAAGAAAAGAAAAGCATTGGAAGGGAAGAGAAATGAGTGGAAATGCAACAAATAGAAATAGTTGAAGTGTGGAACTATCCAAAGAGGATTATAAGTGACTGTGTAGCTCAAACAAGCATTTTGAGTACTTTGTTATACTGAGTGGAGCATTTATGGAAAGGATCCTTTGGGAAAGGACTGAAAATAGAAAGCATCTTGATTCCTATTATATGCACATTTTGGATGAAAAATATTCACATGAATTGCAACTTGATATGGTGGACTAGAATATATTTAGGTGAACAATATCAGTTGATTGAGCTGAAAACACCAATTGGCAGGTATTTCCTGTGTTAATCCTCTTAAGAACCTGATGAACTGAATGCTGTTATCCCCATTTTACAGACAAGGAAAGGAAAGCTCAGGGAGTTGTGTGATTTGTTCCAGAACTCATGTAAATAAGTGGTCGAACCAAAGTACGAACCCACAGATCTGTCAGTTATGTCCTTATAACAGTCTTACAGTCTCAATGTTAGTTAGTGTAAGATGTCAACGGCATGGAAAGGTGAGAGAAAAATGAGCCAGTAATAAGTACATCATATCTAAATGAAAATAAAGGCAGCATTCTAAAAATGCGTGCTCAATGTTTCAGGAAGAGTTTTGGCTTCAGAAATATTAGTTCAATCAGTCCAGATCTAATAAATTTATTTCTTATTACTTTAATTAATAAAAGAAGTTTATCTTACAGCAATGAAAGGAAAAGCCCTAAAATTAAAACACTTATGAACTTCTGTTTATGTCTTGGTTTACTGCATTCCATTTGCAGCTATTTTGATGTCAGTGAATAAGCTTATTTACTGGTCCAATGAAATGATGGTAAATAAAAATGATGCAAATAGAAAAGAAACAATATTCCACAGCCACAGTGAAAAATTAACCCAATCACATTACTCAGTCTGAGTCCTGGTAACTTTTCTTTGTCCCCAGGTCTAGCAAAGATAAGAGCATCCTACGAGGTCTTACCTTTGAAAGCTTCACCAAAGTTCTGATGGGATCTGCAAAATCGCTTGCAGTTGATCCTCCCTGGTGTTCATGGGTGTAAGCTGTTTTTTCTTTAATTCTCTGCAATAAACCCAATTGGAATAATCTGTTTTCAGCTCTAACTGACAGGCAAAAGGGAAATGTATCAGAAAGCCAGAAAAGACAGGAACTTTGTATTTTTTTTTTCATTCTACATTAATACAGGGAAGCAGCTGGTTTCTCATCCTAGCAGCAGGTTTAAATATGTGTAAAATGACAGGGAAATCTAGGAAAAGGACCCAAGAAGGAGAATAGTCCTTGTTTCCCATCCACGTATCTAATAGTCCCTATTACTGACACTCAAATTTGCCAAA